ATTTTTGCACTCATTTTGTTTTGAATTGGATTTTCTACCCACGTTTTTAGTCGTTTCCTTGTAGTAATACAGGTGGGAATGGGTTCTTGCTGATTATTATTATAATTGGACTGGTTTGCGTTATTATTCTGATAAAAGCGTTGTCGTGTATATCCATTTTGCTTATCATTTAATTGGCTATGTGTGCTATAGGAGGACCTTGTCTGTGTTAATGAATATAGTGTGTTGCCATTACAATCCTTTCTCTTATTTGCGTAACGAGCTTTATTCGAAATATTTGAAATATGTAATTGGATTTGTGCTGGGCTCTCAGGAACGGAATTATTCTCGCCCACACTAATAGTGTTCAATTTCGCATCATTTAAACATTGCTCTTGGGTTGCATTTTGCGATGTGATCTCATTTGGCTTTACAAGCTGAGTAGGACCATCAAGGCCGGGATTATGACCATCATTACTCAAAACTATAGAAATTTCTCTCTCAGAACTTTTATTCGACTGCATTGAGGAGTTTAAATTTGCATTTTGCTCTTGACTGGATTCTACATTATCTACCATAGAATTACCGCTTTCGTTTTCCTCATTACCGGCATCATAATTTGACGCATTACCAGATTGATGATTATACTCCAGTGCAATGACCTGTGAAGAACACGCTTGAGAGGATAATTCATTAATTACTGCATCATGATTAGTAATTTCTTTAGAAGTCTTTTGTTGATAAACTGTCTAACATAGCATCTGCTTGTCTTACTATATGATCTGTATCTAAAACTGTTACCAGAAGTTGTTTCAATAGCTCACCATCCTTTCCATGAAGCGATATCGAGTTCTGCTTTCCCGGGTACCAGGTCAAGGTAAAATCAAACGTTGAACTTTTAAACTCCTTAGCATTTCCACCAGGTGATTTCCAAGTGCCGGTCAAACCAATAACACTTTCGGCATAATTCTTTAATGAATTAAGGTCACCGGTCCATTTTATACGACTACCAGTATAAGTTAAGTTAGCTTCATTATTTAATAGCTTTATTGCATTCATATCGACGTTCTCTGGTCTGAAATTTGTATTATTGAACGAGCTAAAAATCCATGACCTTCCGCCATTTTGATTACATAATCAGGGTCCTCTTTTCTCACAGTCCTGGTACGACTGGTCGGAGGATGTTGCATTTCCACAGAATCTATGTCCGAGGATGGTGCAGCGGTTGTAGGCATGGGGAAGATTGAAACATTTACGTGTATCTGTAAAGCGTTGGCTTAATTGAAAAGGGCTTCCAAGGCAAAGACCGATCGATGGCACAGGCAAGGGCACTTTGAAGACAAAGGTCCTTCGATGGCAAGGGCAAAGGCCCTTTGACGCCAAAGACCCTTTGAAAGCAAAGGCCCTTCGATGGCAAGGAGATTTTGAATGCAAAGGTCCTTGGATGGCAAAGACCCTTCGATGGCAAAGATTTGCTGCTTTCGTTCCTTCAGGTCCAGACACTCTCCACTTAGTTTGATCACATCTGGTGTAGGACACTCTTTCCCTCCAATTCTGCTAAGTTCTTACAAAGATCTGACCTTTGTTAATGAAGACGAGGTGTTGTCGAATGGACGTACTCGTCCATAAGCACTTTCTCAAGAGTCTCCTTCAGCTTTGGCCGAGCTATCGAATTCCTTATGATCAATGTTGTCCAGAGGAGCTTTGTTGTCTGAGTTGGTAAGCTTGCGTTTTCTCATGTCTCCAAGATCCTTAACCAAATTACTTTCAAGTTTCTCTGTAACCTTCCAAGGAAACTGTTCTACCTTCTGCAGCATGCTAGAATAGGAGCCTTGGTTCTGTAGATATCCTTAGACCTAAGTGTGTAGTCAGCAATTGCTTGTTTACAATTTCCTTGAGAAGGGCTAAAGCAATTTCTTTCACTTTTCTACCTTGGCTCTCAATTCTTTTCTTAAGAGCTCTAATGATGATACAAATTTTTTTTGTGAAAGTTGAAAAGTGAGTCTCCAAATATGCAGAGAACCTTGTCGTGCTAAGAGAGCGTAGCTTGTAGAGCTTGAGTGACAAATCTTCAGATGCTCGAATTGTCTGCTGAAGACCTTTACTACTGTTCAGAAATTGTTTCATTAAAAAGTGCATATGACATGAAATTTATTATTTTCTTAAATGAAAGAACTCTTTAAGCTGTAGGGCAACTTAGATCTCAGTTTCTTGTTTTTTTGGTTTGTTTCCGAGATATTTCAATTTGTTTGATATGTAAATGAGTGTGAATATGTCAGCTAATTTATGACGTCACGTTGGTTGCAAGCTCAACTTACACTGGCTATAAATCTATTAACTCTAAAAACAGAAAATATCAGTTTACGCTTTTCTCTAGTGTTTCATAACATTTACCAGTGAGGGAAGTTTGAAGTGATCATCTTGGATGATAGCAGTGATATTCAACCATTTTGAGGAGCTTGCAACCAACGTGACGTCATAAATTAGCGGACATATTCACACTCATTTACATGTAAACAAATTGAAATATCTCGGGAACAAACCATAAAAACAAGAAACTGAAATATAAGCTACACTACAGCTTAAAGAGTTCTTTCATTTAAGAAAATGATAAATTTCATGTCATATGCACTTTAAGTACTTTGACTTCATTATTAAACAAGTCAAAAACACATTCTAACTCCTTTATATATTTTGTGGCAAGCTAAATATTCTAGTTCTATTAGTTCTCATCTTAGCCTGACTCACTCAGCTCGTTCTCATCCATCTTGGAATGCTTCTTCATGATTGTAAGAGTTGATTAAAAACTCCCATCTTCACATACTGACCTTCCCAATCCAATCCTTCCAGTTAAATGTCATTAGCGCCTGCCTCATTGAACACCTCTTTTTACATCTTCGCCATGCTAGCAGCATCACCTTGTTAAACAGCAGGATTGCCATCATCTCAGGAACAATTAAGTCTTCAGATAGAGGGTTTTCTGGGACAGGAGTTATCATTGCATGGACTTTCCCCGGTTTGTTTGTTTGTTTCGAGTCATTTTATCCATTGAAAAACCAGGTGACGTAACTGACCTGTATCTTTAACCTCGCCCTAGTGATTCTTTGAAGTCTTCCCTCGTGGCAGCAGAAAGATTCTTGTCAATTTTAGTTGCAAACTTTCTACAAACTTTCTACTGATCTTAATTTCCTCTCAGCCTATTCGATTTTGGCACTCTTACGTCCGTATTCTAAAAGCTCACTCACACTCAATCAATAAAGGTTCAATCTGAGCTTTTCTTGAGTGTCTATGCTGTTTTTGAATAGGGGGAGGGGGTGAGTAGTCACACAGTAAGGTACGACACTAACCCTCCAGCTATTCAAAAACAGCATTGACACTCAAGAGAAGCTCAGATTAGATTGAACCTCCACTCATTGAGTGTGAGTGTGAGTGAGCTTTTAGAATACGGGTGTTAATCATCCCAAGTTTCACCCTATGAGTCTTGATTTCTTCAAGATGTCTCCTAACAGTCTTCTTCAAATTCAAAAGGCCACTCAATTGTTTCTGTTGGTCTGCCTTTGTTTCTGAAAGAATCTTTAAAGCGGCTGCACTGGATAATGCCAGGAGTAGATGGAGTAGGCATGCTTTCTGGATATGAATCTCCATAGCAAAGCTTACAGGCAAAGAATCAATTTCACCAATAGTTGAAATATCCATTTTCTTTAAGGAACTCTTCTGCACTTTCTTGTTCCTTGCATTGGTTTGAATTGTTTTCGAATAGTTTAATTTGGTTGTCAATATCATCAGCAGGAGACTCCCTTCTAGTTTCATTCTTCATTGTGTCATTGGTTATGTTTTCCAGTATACTTTGAATCAAAGTGACTTTCTTTAAGGTTTCAAGCCCAACTGCTTTACATCATGCATGGTATAACTATTGGAAGTGGAGTAGTCAGGGATGTCGTCAGGGATGATTTTCTGTCTTTCAGAGTTTTTTCTGTTCTCATTTTCATCTGCTACTCTTTTCAGCGAATCTTCTGTCACCTCAGTTACATTGTTATTAGGCTATCAGCAGGTTCAGTCTTTTCAGTTTCCTCCATGTCTTCTAGTTCCACATTGTGTACCTCCTTTCCTTGGACAGAAGTCACAGCACCTTCAGGAGATTCACCTTGTTGACCTTAATAGCAAAGAAATCGGTCAATCTTGTTGTTTGTTCGACAATTTCCACTTTGGTTGAAGTCCTGGGTGTTGACTTTCTGTATGTTTTGCCAGTTTATATTTTCTTGTCCTGAAATCAGCACAGTGAGCACATAGAACCAACTGCGTGGAGTCATTTTTCACCTCTGCGTATTCCAGGCATTCTCCTGTTTGCATCTAAACTAATTTCCATTGCTAATTAAGTTGTATTATAACTGCTTCGGAAACTCATTTGGTGCTTTACCCTACTGATCTACTTCGGATAGTCGTGAAGTACTGACATTTACAGTTGCAGTGATTGTTTGTAAGTTTGTGTCAATTATTTAATATTTAATGATCGTTTGAATGTGTAGAAGTGTAACTTCTTGAAATAAAGTAATTGAAATTTGTTAAAGCGTACAGTGTATTTACCTATTGAAGCTGGGAAAGTTCCTCAACTGAAATATTGAGAACCAATATTCTTCTCGCTTCATACGAGTAGAATCACAGGCGGCCCAATCTGGGAACGTCCTATATATATATTTTGAATATTTAACCGTTATAATATTTAATAACCAAAACAATTCAAAAAATATTAGTAAAAAATGTATGTAAATAATATATGTATAAAAATATATCTAACTTGTTAATAGGCAGTGGCGTAGCCAGACCTTCATTTTTGGGGGGCGAAGCGAACGCCGAAGGCGCGAGACCATCTAAAGAGGTCCGGGGGCATGCACCCCCGTGAAAATTTTGAAATTTAGAGTCCCTGAAATGTGATTTCAAGCATTTTGGGGGTGAAATCTTGCAGAATTCCGAAGATTATAAAGTACGCTCTAGGGGGGTTCGGGGCCATGCACCCCGGCCCAGGGAAAATTTTAAAATTTAGAGTCCCTGAAATGTGATTTCAAGCATTTTGGGGGTGAAATCTTGCAGAATTCCGAAGATTATAAAGTACGTGTCTAGGGGGGTTCGGGGCCATGCACCCCGGCCCAGGGAAAATTTTAAAATTTAGAGTCCCTGAAATGTGATTTCAAGCATTTTGGCGAAGACATAAATTTTCCCAGACATTTGTAAGTTTCTACTCGCTTTTATATATGATACAGAATAAGTCTGAGAAGAATATTCATGTTATCATAATGCATATACATGTAAATCTAAACTAAATCTATTCTTCTTGGAACCATATCTACAACTGTTTTAACGAGATTTTAGAAATCAAGTTCTTCCAGTATTTCGTCGTTTTCCTCAGTCGAGACGTACTTAATCCGTTTCAGCTTGGAGGATGTAACGTGTACCCGCGCCCATTTCTCTACGGATTTAACCTTTTTCAGAGAATTTTTTTTGCGATTGGGGGGGGCGACCGCCCCCCTTGCCCCCCCCCCCTTGGCTACGCCCCTGTTAATAGGATGCATTTGTTGTATTTCCAAGTTTAGTTGATGCGATTGCTTAACGTTTTCGTCGTACTTGAACGGTCGTCAGTACTGGCACTGAACGACATGGCTATAGTAGATTAGGACAGGAATAACTATAAGGCTAGTCATTTATCTAGTATACTCTCCGACATCGAAACCAATATTTCTCCACAGAATCGTTCCAGAGCAATAAATTTCCCATCGTCTAATAGTATGAACGTTACTCTTTCGAAAGAACATGCACGGTTTGTTCACCATTTGGGCAATTATCGTGACACACGAAGAACCTTGTTTATCCAAAATTCAAAATTCCATTTTCGAAAGAGGCGCTAACCCCATGATCGTTGCCACGAGAGCGGCTCAACAACCTGGCCTTTTCGTTCGAAAACACTCCATCAGGGAGGCAGGACTGGACTGGAGTGAAAGGCTTTCAAAGCAACACAATAAACACACGATATCAATAGAAATGATTACTTTATTGTCACTCTAAACTAGATTATAGGGCAGAAAGTCGCATCACGATAAATATTAATTTTTAATTGCAGTTCTCTTCACGACTTCTTGTTGCAAATTCAAAGTTGCAAATATTGTTACAAACGCGACAAACAGCTCCTCTCCCACCCTACCCATAGAATAATTTTAATTTATCACCCAGAATCTGGACGACACTTGACCAGCCGAAACCAGGGTCTTTCCTTCGCCTCGCGCCTTTCAAAGAAAGACCCTGGGAACGAGGTTGTGAACTTGGCTGCGTTCACTCGTATGTCTTATCATTTATATCGTGTGTGTTATCGTGTTGCTTCGAAAGCCCCTCATCTAGTCCAGCTCCCCCGATGGAGTGTTTTCGAACGAGGAGACCAAGTTGCTGAGCCGCTCTCGTGGCAACGATCATGGGGTTAACGCCTCTTTCGAAAGTGGAATTTTGAATTTTGGATAAACAAAGTTCGTCGCGTGTCACCATAAATGCCCAAATGGTGAACAAACCATATTCTTTCGAAAGAGGAACGTTCATACTATTAGGCGATATTAAATTTATTGCTCTGCAACGATACTATTGGACTCGATGTCGGAGAGTATATCAGATAAGTGGCTAGCCTTGTAGTTAATCATGTCCTATGGCCATGTCGTTCAGTACCAGTACTGACGGCCGTTCAAGGACGACGAAAACGTAAAGAAATCGCATCAACTAAACTGGGAAACACAACAAATGCGTATTATTGACAAGTTGGAGATTTATTTTTTACATATTAACATATACTGCTAATATTTTTTGAATTATTGTGTTATTAAATACAGATTGGGCCGCCTGTGGTAGAATCTGGAACGCAATTATATTGGGTGGAAAATTGCTGAGGAAACCAAACAATCTTCAAATTCTATTAAGAGGGTATGGATTACACTTCACAATCTCAAAATAGACTCAAATGGCAGATAACTAAATATGGTTCCTCAAAATTATTCCTTAAAGTACGCGGAGTTGGAGTGAATTCTCTTATAAAAGTATCTTTTACATGCACACGGCCAATCCTTGAATACGCATGCCAGGTTTGGAACTATGGTGCTCCAGATTATTTAAAAGAAGAAGTTGAAAGAATTCAAAAACGCGCCTTACGAATAATATATCCCGATCTATCGTATCTGGAAGTTATGAAACTTACTTTGGGTTAACACTATAATGGAAACATAACACTATTATAATTTTTAAACATTGAAAATCGTATTTTATTGTAACAATCGCGTGCATATATGTTACAACAATATTGTAATTATCTAAAATTAAGAAAACAGTTCTCTGCAATGAAACGGGTCCATTATCTGAGCACTCCAAACAATAGTAGCTAATAGAAATTAAGTAATAATGGATCATTCCACGACTTATTTCTCCGACAATATATGTATAATATCATGATTGCGGGTATTCCATTTGTTCTCGCAGGGCAATTAAAAACTAATACACCTCATCATATTCATTTTTTCTAATCCTACCCGCTTTTACGTCATGTCAGGTAGTGATGAGTTCTAATCCTACCCGATACGACTTCAAAGCGGGTACGGTTAGAAAAAAATGAATGTAATTGAAGATATCTGAAATCGCCAAAACTAAACAAAGATATGGAAAACAATTATACCATTTAATTTCTACCATTATTTATTGTTACCATTATTTATTTATAAGGTAATAGCATAAAAAGAGGCGAATTAGCTATTGAAAACATCCGGCCCTTGGGAATTTTACTAAATGACCCTCATCGAGCGGCGCCCAAGGGAATTGTACTAAACGACCCTCATCGGGCGGGACGTTTTAATAGCTAATTCGCCTTTTTTATGCTATTACTTATAATAATGTGGCCCGCAGAGCTACCTCCACACATTTAGCTATTATGCGATTGTCACTAAGGTTAATTTGCGGATTTTGCAATATTCTTAGACACAAATTCAAGTGTGGTCAATTCTAGAGTAATAACCTGGAATGACTCACAGTTAATAACACTATTAATAATGGATAAATATAATGCACAAGAGCCAATGACTGTTAATACTATTAACAATGGAAACATAACATTATTATGTACACCATAACAACACTGCTATATATATATACCATATCACTATTAATAATGAAGCGCAAAACACTATTATATATCCTATCTGTCTGTATGATGTTTTTTTTCAAAGAACTGTCAAAAGCTACATATCTTGTTAGCAGGTGAACTTATTAATGAATTTACGATACTATACAAGGCTATACAACACTATACAATGTTATACGAGACTATACAACACTATATAAGGCTATACGACACTATACAGCGTTATACAAGACTATATACGAGACTATATACACGAGTATACAACACTATAGGACACTACACAATAATATACAAGGCTATACGACACTATAAAACTATATAACATTATACAAGACTATATAACAATATATAAAGGCTATACGACACTATACGACACTATACAACACTATACAACACTATACAACACTATACAACGTTATACAAGACTATGCAATAATATATAAGGTTGTATATACGACACTATATACAACAATATACAAAGTTATACAAAACTATAAAAATTATGACACTATACAAGATTATACATGACACTATACTA